TAAGTTTCATCAAATGTTCTTTCTCTGTTGTTTTCCTTCTGATGTGACTGTGTAGCAGTTTTGGTTCGGTCTTGGCTTTATTTTGCTATATCATTTTCATAATAACTCTCTGCTTCTCTTCTCACACTGACATACTCATTCCTGGCTCACTGGTATCTTTCTCTGCTTTCGAGTGTTTTGTTATATGGGAAGTTCCTCCACGCCCTTTTGTTTAGTTCTTTTGCCACCATCCATGCCCTAGAAAACCACGGATTCTTCTTTTGTTTGTCATTTTTAATTTTTGGATCGGGTTAAACCTGTTTACTGACTCCTGACACTTTTGGGTGACATAGTCCATTATGTCTTGTACGGTCTTAGTTCTGAATTCTGTGTCACATGGTATTTCTCCTAGGATATTTCTCATCTCTTCATAACTTCCCTTCCAGTATGCCAGCCTCTTGTTTTCGAGTTATTTTTGGGGAGAGATTACACTTAGCTCTACCAGGTACTCAAATAAAAGCACACTATGATCACACATTCCCAAGGGGAATTCCAACGTAACATCTCTTATATCCGACTCACTCAGGGTGGATATCAGATCAAGCAAGCATTGCTGGTTCGTCTTCTCTCATTTTTGTCGTTCCCCTTGATGTGTTGGATTAAAAAGTTTATTTTGCCACGTCCAGCAACTTAGCTCTCCATGTGTCTGGTTCTCCATTTGGTTCTCTGTTTTCCCAGACTACCTTCTCACGGTTGAAGTCTCCCATAATTAGCAGTCTGGATCCGTTCCTGCTAGCTACAGAAGCTGCTTTCCTTATTATATTAATGGTAGCCATATTGTTTCTATAATATTCCTGTCTGGGTCTTCTGTCATTTGGTAGGGGGTATATATGACTACTACTACTATAGGATTTTGTCCTCCAATTGCTATGGTACCTGTTATGTAGTCACTGAAACTTTCACAACCTCACAGGGGTGAGGAAGAAGGGGGGACAGGTAGAGTATGGGGTGAGAGGGAAGCGGGGTACAGGGAGGGTACAGGATTAGGGAGAAGGGATGACAGGGTGAGAATGGGGTGAGGGGGACATGGAGGGTATGGAGTGAGGAGGACGGGAGGGGGGGATCGAATGAGCATTTGAATGGGGTTATGGAGGGTTTGTATGTGGTGAGGAGGGTGGGGGTGTTGTCCTCTCCTCTGGGGTTACTGGAGTATTGGGTCGGGATTCCCCCAGTCCCCTCCGGAGACTGTTGTGTTTGGGATTGTGGTTTACTGGTGTTCTCCTCTCCCCCTGTGCTTCTTCCTTTTATCTGCTGCCGTTCCTCTCTCTCTCCTCAAAATGTTCCTCTGGAGGAAATCTTTCTTGTATCCTCTCACATTTAACAGTTGGCTCTTCCTTGCTAGAATTTCTTTGTCCGTGTTACCATTTGTAAACACTATATTTATCAGGCGATGTATTTCCTTGTTATACCAGCCATGCCAGAAAATCTTCTCTATGCTTTGTTCAACCTCTTCAATCTGTAACCACTATAGATCTCACTTACTTTCTCTGTGTCCTTATCTTTCCATTCTGTCTTACTGGAGCGTTCTTGTTCTTTAATGCCCACTACAACCACTGATCTTTACCTCTCCAGCAGCTGACTAGTGCACCTTATTGCTTACTGTGAGGTGTGTTTGTGTGCATTTGTGTATGGGTTTCTGTGAGTGTGTGTGCGGTTGGTCACAGGTGAGAGGAGCTCAGCTGTGGGAAATATTTAATTAAAATATAATAGTTACCATATTTATCTTGAAAGTTTGCCTGTGGGAAACAGGCAAAGAGAAAGATATCTCTTTATGAGATATCTCTCTCTTATGAAAGATCTCTCTCTCTCTCTCTCTCTCTCTCTTTCTCATATAATGTTTCTTTCGTTCACATCTCTTCAAATCTGGCGAAGAGGGATATGCGATATATTTAATTGAAAAATTGCGGTTTCATGAGTTTCTCTATCAGAAATCATCAGAGTAACTTACTTCGACAGTGTTTTTTTCAGATTTATTTATATTTATCTTTAGTAATTCAAATCCCATTGACTCATATATCAAATATAATTACATTCTTCCCACTCACTTGTTTTCCAATATAATTTATTCATGTGCTGTATCGCTAGATACATTGGCAGTCCCATAATTACCTTCAAAATTAGGGTAAAGGTGTATAAAGCAGTTACACGTTATGGAACTGATTTACCATTATCGAAACCGTTGTTCACTTCATTTAGAGATCATTCCAGAGTAGAGAATCGTCCTCTCAATGTGCCTGATTTCAAAAAATGTAAAAATGTCGCGAAAAAACTGAGAATAATCTAGCTTTTTTTGTAATACAGAACTTCGACCTTTATTGATTCAAAACGACTCGTCAATTCAGATTTACACAATTTAGATTTAAGCCAATCTCCTTAGGTCCCCTTTTTTCAAAGTTTCTTCTTTTGTGCTTTTTTATTTTAGCATTTATATTTATATATATATTTTTGTGGTTTCTCTCTTTGGAAAATTTTGTACATTAGCTATTTATTTCGATATTTAAGTTAGAACTGTCAACTGTTGGTTTCCATTTATTTTTTAAAATTCCCATACTACTGTGCTTGTTTATATTTCTTAAAAAATTTACTGTAATGTTCTTGTGTATTTACAGGGATATACAGAGCGAAAGATATAAAACATTTGAGCTTATTTTAGTTCTGGACAATATTCAAGATTGGTTGGTCGGTCAGTAAGCATTTGCGGTCATGTTAATAACCCTGCAGATATACCCTCCAGATATTGTCAATAGTTAAGCCAAAAATCTAACCAGTGTTTGTAAATTTATTCTTTGGTTGACTGTTACAAATAAATGTGTGTTCTATGGGGAGTCTAGCATTAATGGATGTAGGGGCAGTAGTTAGCATTAAGGGTTATCAAATATGGGAGATCTAAAAGGCCCGGCCCCCATTAAATATATAAACATAACTTTGTAGTGGCTTATTACAGCAATAGTCAGCCTAGAGGTTGATCATAGATCTCCTACACAGGAAAAATGGATACTCCTTTAACTAACTAACTTATTTATTAACCCCTTAACATCCCCCCATATACATTCACACCAATAACAATAATAATTACTTTACCACACTATCTTACGTTAAAAGCCTTGGTCCACATAAGCAGCATATAAGGTTTACACTGAGAAAAAGCTAGGGTAAAGTACTACTGGTTAAGAACTGAAGCTGGATGCAGCTTAGGGTAGTGAGACCACGTGGTACCCTAATACAACACAACACTACACTTAGGGTACCCAAAACACTGGCAAATACTACCCCCCAGGTCTCACCAATCTTTCACTAACAGAGTAGGCACACTTACAAACACAGAGTATGACTTAACTTAAGGTAAGGGAAATAAGTAAGAGGGAAGGTAGAAGGGGAGAGAGGGGCAGCCACAGAGTCCCGATGTTTACACCTCGAACGCCAACAGAGAAGAAGCTTCCAGTGACCAGATCAGGGCTCCCGCATTGTGTGGTGCCGGGAGGAACCTAATTGATCGTGCAGCTAAACACATTAAAAATCTTCCCCTATGCATCATATTGTTACTTTACTCGTTCTCAGGATAGTTAATCTTATAACAATGTTATACTTAATCCACAACAAGCTCAAGAGTCTGAATGCTTGTGAGCAACAAGATTCGTCCTACATTTGGAAGGGAAGATACAAACAAAGACACGTCGACTTGCGTCTGGCTAATCTAACGTAGCTTATTTAGTTCAATTTGACCTCTGGTTTCCACTTGAGGAACCCAGGGTCGTAACATTGACCATAATATTGGTAAAATTCTTTTGTTTTTTTATAGTTAGGCGTCAATTAGTAATTTTTGTAGTTTAGGAATAATTTTAAATTGTTTTAATTTCAATTTCAATGTGCTCATGGTGTTTAATTCGATCTGGAAGTTTTTTTCTTAAATTTAATTTACTTTTTAACAAGTCTTGCTTAATTGTTTTTTGTTATCTTTTGGATTAAATTATTAACTCAGCGTGTGATACATTTAAGCCAGAAAACCTTCTCTATGCCCCTTCCAACTGTAACACCTTTAGGATGTCTCTCACTGCCACTCTGTCCTTATCATTCCATTGTCTTGTTTCATCTTTGCCAACTCCAACTCTTACAATCCAATTAAATCCAATCCAGTACCTTTTGACACAGTGTCAAGGCTATTTCTCTCAACTATTTTTTTTTTTTGCAAAATCCTCGTAATTAGATTGGAAAATACAAAAAAAAACGGAATTATTCTGGCTTATTATTTAACATAATATATTCCATTGCCTAAACCTGGGCTTGATAAAACTGGATAGTACCCAGACAAAGGTTGAATTAGTTTAAAAATATTATCCCTTGTTTAAGTTCTGCAACACTCAGCTTTGCATTTTACGAGTGGAGGTTGAAGACTCGTTCTAGCATGTTCTAGTGCATATATCTTCACTTTTTGAAGAAGTTGACCATGAAACTCGAATGCATCTAGGCAAGGGGTTGAATCCGTCTTAATTATTTTAGTTATTTATTCACATACTGAAGAGTTCTTACATTCTTGTACAGCCACGAGCACGCATAACATTTCGGGCAAGTCCTTAGTCCTATGTTCCCTGCAATACGACCTTATCAAATCGTTTAACAACTAGGTACCCATTTTACTGTTGGGTAATACAGAGGCTACATTTTAGGATTTGTCCCCGTAAATCCTCTCCGGCCAGGATACGAACCTGGGCCAAAGTGCATGCGAAATGCCAGGCGAGAGTCTTACTACTACCCCACGGGGACTGACAAATATTCTTCCATACTCTTGTGGTGTGATAGCACAGCATTCGTTTTAGCATCACGTTAGCGGAGGTTCAAGTCTCAACTACGGTGTTTTATTTTCAATGCATGTGTGTGTATAATTTGTTTATTTTAATAAATCAAAGATCAAAGATTAATATTTGTTTTAGGTTTTATTGTGAAATAGATGATTCTAATGGAAACTATACACTACCTTGTTGTAGGATTAATTTGAGGAAGTTGAATATATCGTCCAAGCAGTCGAAAGGAGTCCTAATTGACACGCAAGAAGAGAGGAGGAACGTCGTCAGGGGCAGCACTAGCAGCGTCGCCAGGATGGCCGCCCACACCAGCGGCGTCAAGGGGAACACAAAGCCCCACGGGTCCACCACCGGCCGACCTCGACCTCCCAGGATCCTCCCATACGCTACTAATACTGGCCACGTGAAGTCCACTACTTCGGCACTCTTTTCACTGATGCCGAAGAGTCCAAGGCCAATGTCCACCTCCTGTTAATAAATGCAAGCAAATTGTAACGATTTATAATTCATTATATTAAGTAATGGTAATGTCTTCTCACAGCCATAATAACATAGGATAAAAGCCCACACACACTAGTATATTTGTGACATTTATGTAAAGAATTTACACCAAGTCTTTCGCACTCTCCTGAGTGCTTTGTCAAGGCATGGGTGTGTGATTAGGACGAGACTTACATCTCAACGTCTAAGATGAAAGAAAAAGACTCATTGAACACACATATAATATATGATTTTAATATTGTTATGAGACATTGTAACTCTTCCTATCAGAGTGTTTTCTTAAACTGTTGTGCAATATTGTAACTTAAAACTGGGTCAAGTTTGCACATGCTAGTACTAACCATAAGAAGATTTGGACACAATGATTAGGGCAGAATCAATTAAATTCTGTTCTACAAAACCTTTATGCCCGGGGCATCATACCCATCAGCGTTTCATTGAGATTCAGAAGAAGGATTTGGTTTGATGTCAAATTTCTTTTGACTATATATTTAACTTAGAACATTAGTTTTATTGGTTTTCAGTCCTGCGACTGATGATTTTAATGTGACTTTGGATAAATCGAATTTGTGACGAGATGCAAACGTCGCCGCAAATATATTTTCGTTTTCTGGAGTAAAATCTGCCTCGAGAGCAATCTCTGCTATGACTAACTAATGTATTTATTTAAAACTAGCTGAACACTGCCACGCGTTAATGTGGCTTAGTAACGCATGTGCGTTGCCGAGCCACAGCAACCTTTCCCTGCCTCCCACTCCTCCCCACCATTCCTCACTCCCCTGTCCCCTCGACCTCCCATCCATTCCCAACTTACCCATCCCCTCGTCCTCCCCACTATTACCACCCCCTCCCACGTTCTTTTGTCCTCCCCACCATCCCCTACTACAGCGTCCCCTCGTCCTCCTAACCATTTCTCACTCCACCGTCCCTTTGTCCTCCACACCATCTCCCACTCCCCTGTTCCCTCGTCCTCCCTACCATTCCCCCTCCCCTTGTCCTCCCCACTATTCCCCACCCAAATGTCCCCTTGTCTTCCCCATCATTCCCCATTCCCCTGTCCTCTCGTCCCCAACATTCCAAACTCCACTGTCCCCTTGTCCTCCCAGCCATTACCCCCCTCCCCTGTCCCCTCGTCCTCAACACCATCCCCTCCACACCCATCCCCTCGTCCTCCCCACTATTCGCTCCCCCTCCCCCTCTCGTCCAATGCATTCCCAAAGGATCTGATATTGCCATCACTTAAATATAAGAAAAATATTTTAAAAAACGAAATGGAAAACAATGAAAAAATACAAAAATAAACTGTACTCTCGAAATGAACGGTATGATAAACAACACAGCTCAATTTCAATGCAATGTCACCAAAATAATTAAACCAAAATTAAAATAAATCGAAATCTATAAAAATTAAATTTGTCAATGCAATTGGAAACACTGAAATGGAATCTTACTATAGTTACAATAGCATGTGTTGCTCCTACGTGCAACAGGTGGTGCTGTTTCTTAAAAAAAGAATGTTTTTTACCTGTCACAGGTGTGGCATCTATACTTATACATAGAAAATGAACGGTATAGTAAACAACTCAGCTCAATTCCAACGCAATGGCCCACAAAATATTTAAATATAAAATAAATTAAATCGAAATCTATGACAATTCAATTTGTCAATGCAATCAGAAACACTGAAATGGAATCATAACACATTTAGTATAGCGTGTGTTTCTCTTACGTGCAACAGATGACGCTGTTTAAAAAAATAAAACATATTTTTACCTGTCACAAGTGTGGCATCTATATAGAAAGTATATATATATATATAAAAACATGCGCATATTTGAATGAAACGTTGTGTCAAAATTAAAAAAAAATCTGGGAAGAACTTTCAGTGATTAAACCGTCTGTTGCTCATACGTCCATCAGATGGCGCAGTTTAAAAAAAAAAAAAATTCTGTCACAGGTGAAGCATGTATATAGTAGGTACATAAAAACACGTACCTATTCGAATGCAACGTTGTAAGCAATACCAAAGCAATTGGTAAAGAGGATTCGAAGATTTCCCTCACATGAAAAACACAGTTTTTCAAAAAAGCCAGTTTTTCCAGTCACAGACGTGACTGATGCCAATGGAACGTTGAGTCGAATTCTGAAAGCAATCGGTGAAGAACTTTCGGATATTAGCGATTTTGAACAAACAATTAGCGATTTACGTTTTTATTTATATAAATTAAATTAACACAAGCAACGGCATTTTATTTCTGGTTATTGCATTAACAATTTAAGGATGATGTACAAAATTTTTCCAACAAGTTCAACATGTGAATGATGATTGAAGGTGGTTGTGATAGGAAAACGACCAGATAGGTTCCCTCCATCACTGATGGTTTTATCCCCACATGTGTGAACTGATTGATCATTAACGAAGAACTTATTAATATGAGACCAACCACTTCGATCAGAAAGAGAGAAAGCTACAGTTAATATTAAACATATTATTGATAGCAGGATTATGTAAATTTTCAGCATCCATAAATACTTTGACCACCATGACTCATCAAGCTACTTGCTTGCTCTCTATCCCCACCATGGTGTACCATGCTCTCTATCTCCACCATGGTGTACCATGCTCTCTATCCCCACCATGGTGTACCATGCTCTCTATCCCCACCATGGTGTACCATGCTCTCTATCCCCACCATGGTGTACCATGACTTGCTCTCTATCCCCACCATGGTGTACCATGACTTGCTCTTTATCCCCACCATGGTATACCATGACTTGCTCTCTATCCCCACCATGGTATCCCATGACTTGCTCTCTATCCCCACCATGGTGTACCATGACTTGCTCTCTATCCCCACCATGGTGTACCATGACTTGCTCTCTATCCCCACCATGGTGTACCATGACTTGCTCTCTATCCCCACCATGGTGTACCATGACCTGCTCTCTATCCCCACCATGGTATACCATGACTTGTTCTCTATCCCCACCATGGTGTACCATGACTTACTCTCTATCCCCACCATGGTGTACCATGACCTGCTCTCTATCCCCACCATGGTATACCATGACTTGTTCTCTATCCCCACCATGGTATACCATGACTTGCTCTCTATCCCCACCATGGTATACCATGACTTGTTCTCTATCCCCACCATGGTTTACCATGACTTGTTCTCTATCCCCATCATGGTATACCATGACTTGTTCTCTATCCCCACCATGGTTTACCATGACTTGTTCTCTATCCCCATCATGGTGTACCATGATTTGTTCTCTATCCCCACCATGGTTTACCATGACTTGTTCTCTATCCCCATCATGGTGTACCATGATTTGCTCTCTATCCCCACCATGGTGTACCATGACTTGCTCTCTATCCCCACCATGGTATACCATGACTTGCTCTCTATATCCATGAGAGAGTCAGGAGTGCTATACCCTATACTCTACAATCAACTTACCGCCCTGCTCACCATACCCACCATCCTCCAACTTACCGCCCTGCTCACCATTCCCAGCATCCTCCAACTTACCGCCCTGCTCACCATTCCCAGCATCCTCCAACTTACCGCCCTGCTCACCATTCCCAGCATCCTCCAACTTACCGCTCTGCTCACCATTCCCATCATGCCGATCCAGGACCCGTTCTTCACTAAGGTGCCCCATTGCCTATCAGGAGATCTCACGAACGTGTACCTATTTAACAAAAATAAGCCTTGCCTTATTTTCAATGCAAGCATTTAAATTTAATAGCACATTGTTAATAAATTATTTTATTGACATTTTTACAATAACATTTAAAAATGTAAAAAGTGAGGGTGAATTAGTATTTAAAAAAAAATCAGGTGATTGCTTGTTGTTGTTTTAGATTCAGCTACTCAGAACAAAAAGTTCCAGGTAGCATGGGCTATGGTGAGCCCGTAGTAGACTTACGTGGTACAGGAGCGGGATTGTAACTATTTTTCAGAGGACAAAGTTTGAACAAGTTTGGCTATCGTTTTCAATTATCACCCAACACCACCATTTTCTTTTCACTATATTCTCAAATCGAGCGTACCAACATGCAGTGAGGCTATCAGAGTGTGAGGACACTCAAAGAATGCCTTCAGGATCTAGTAGATTTAACAAGGACGGCGACTCATTAGGCCTTGAAATCGGAAACTTTTTTGTTGACAAATGTAAAAAACTGGCTGAAGTGCTCACTAATACAGACAACCCTAAATGTTCATTGTTCCGCCCACTGTCTCCTGACCACCCTGTCACCCAGCTCCTTAGTCTACCATGTGTCACCCAGCTCCTTAGTCTACCATGTGTCACCCAACTCCTTAGTCTACCATGTGTCACCCAACTCCTTAGTCTACCATGTGTCACCCAGCTCCTTAGTCTACCATGTGTCACCCAACTCCTTAGTCTACCATCTGTCACCCAGCTCCTTAGTCTACCATGTGTCACCCACCTCCTTAGTCTACCATTTGTCACCCAACTCCTTAGTCTACCATCTGTCACCCAGCTCCTTAGTCTACCATGTGTCACCCAACTCCTTAGTCTACCATGTGTCACCCAACTCCTTAGTCTACCATGTGTCACCCAACTCCTTAGTCTACCATTTGTCACCCAACTCCTTAGTCTACCATCTGTCACCCAGCTCCTTAGTCTACCATGTGTCACCCACCTCCTTAGTCTACCATGTGTCACCCAGCTCCTTAGTCTACCATCAGCCACCCACCACCTTAGTCTACCATGTGTCACCCACCTCCTTAGTCTACCATGTGCCACCCACCTCCTTAGTCTACCATCAGCCACCCACCACCTTAGTCTACCATCAGCCACCCACCACCTTAGTCTACCATGTGCCACCCACCTCCTTAGTCTACCATGTGCCACCCACCTCCTTAGTCTACCATGTGCCACCCACCTCCTTAGTCTACCATGTGCCACCCACCACCTTAGTCTACCATCAGCCACCCACCACCTTAGTCTACCATCAGTCACCCACCACCTTAGTCTACCATGTGTCACCTGCACGCCCACCCACTCTGCCAACCACCTCACTACTGCCCGCCTGCACACACCGACACCTGCCCGACCACTACTACCCACTACCCGCCTATCCACCCACCTGGCCGCCCGCCCTGCTACACATCCATCCACTCTACCACCTATCCACTCACTCGCCCTCCACTTGTGATTTTGATTCCCCCCCCCCCCCCCCCCCTTCCCTTACATGAGTCTAGTGCTGTGGTGTTTCTTAAAGATTTTCTTTCCCCTTCCGCCCAACCACCATTAGCTTCCCCTCCCACCCACCAAACATCTATCCAGTCCCCCCCCCCACCATCCATCCAGTTCCCCCCCACCATCCATCCAGTCCCCACTATCCATCCAGTCCCTCTCCATTATCCATCCATCCACCCCCTATCCATCCATCCAACTCCCCCATTATCAATCCCGTTCTCCCGCCATCCATCCAGTTTCTCCAACATTTATCCATCCATCCATTCAGTCCCCTCACTATCCATCTTGGGACCCATGACATGATATATAATAAAAACTTTACTGGTCAGAAACCAAAAAAAGCAGAAAAACACTGAAAATCTTAACAAAGGATTCAAGCGCGGTCGTCACTAGGCAGGATGCACTTGTAAACAACTGAGTGTGCCTCGCCCTGCTCAGCCCGTCCTCCAAACAAAGTATCAAAAGTAATTCCATGCAGCCGCCAAACCCCCTGTTTATGAATGAAAAACGGTGTTCACACCACTTACAACTGTTGACGTTCAAACATTTCCGGAACAAATGCTTCACTGACGAATTTTGTTCGAACTACAACACTGTAAATGCTTAACCCACGTACTACAATAAAAATATTCGCCAACATAACCTAAACACCTAACCTAACCTATGCCAATAAATGCAAAATATGCTAATACAGTATATTATAATATTAATTTATATTTGAGAAAAAATCCTGTTTTGAATGAACAGTATGTAAGAATTTATGTATGCGTTTGTGGGGTCGACCGCTGGATGTAATGGACTTGAGTCGAGGACAGGTTGCTTAACCAATTCAAATTTTACGATGAGTTTGACGTTCTATACCAAAAATCGTAATCTCGAGCAGCCATAAACCAAGGTACCACTGTACTTTGTTTTTATTCATTAAGATCTTTCACTTTGAAGCTTATTATAGACTAGCTGTACCCGCCATGCGTTGCAGTCGCTTAGTCTGGATAAATGGAAAAGATAGAAAAGAGAAAGTGCACGTTTCTGATATGTTTAATTTCACAATGCTTGTGGGTGTACAATACTTTTTGTTGTTCCATTGTCTGTGGAGATATAGAGATTGTCTGGTTTGCCGACTCTAGAACACACAATATATAATTGTCCATGTGAGAAGCAATCCATGTCTTCATATAGAGCACACAATTCTAAAGACTGGCCCTGAGCTTTGTTGATGGTTATATTGAGGTTATCTTGAGATGATTTCAGGGCTTAGCGTCCTCGCGGCCCGGTCCACGACCAGGCCTCCGTTTTATCCTCCCCAGGAAGCAGCCCGTAGCAGCTAACTCCCAGGTATATATTTACTACTAGGTAACAGGGGTGCATCAAGGTGAAAGAAACTTTTTTGCCCATTTATCTCTGCCTCTACCGGGGATCGAACCCTGAACCTCAGCACTACGAATCCGAAACGCTGTCCACTCAGCTGTCAGGCGCCCTGCAATGGTGATTGCGAACGCCAATCGAATTGGAAACTACAATCTCTTAAATTGAAATGGCATATCTGTTAGAATCATAGGAATGAGAGGAATGAGGACATCTTCACCTTTGAAAGGTCCTGTCAAAATTGTTGCTTCTACCACGTTGCTGATTATTTTTTTACTGCAAGCCGCGTGCCTTTGCAAAGTTTTGTCTGGTTGATATCTCGCAACATGATAATTGGCACGCCGATTTTCAATTGCAGCTGTACGTGCGGTGGTATCCCTGGCAGGTCGAGTGAATTCAAAAATTCTGTTGGGTCATTAACCGCTTAATCTGCTTCCACAACAATGTCGACGGACTTGTATGTGACTGCCTCGCTTTGGATGTTAGACTGAATAATATTGTTAAGTTCGTAGACGTCTTTGTTCTTGGCCGCAAGAACAGCTCGTTCACTCAGCCAATCGTGATCCTTATAGTTGGTTTGAATATTGGGAAATTGTTTTTCAACCAATTCTTCTTTTGACGTTACTAAATAGCAGAAGTTATGAGGCAATGAAACTCGTCCTGAGGTCAGATCAACCGGCACGTTTCCGTTCCCAATTTCCAGAAAATAATGTGAGAATATCTCAGCTGAAGGATCGTTTTCAGCTGGACTCGCACATTTATAGTTAATTTTAACGTCTTTCCGTGGCTCCACAAAGTAGAGCAGTTCAGGCAAGCATTTATTTCGTCCGCTGGTGTCGATCGAGGAATTACAGATAATATTTGCCTGAAATCTCCTGCAAGCAATGTTAATGCGTTCCCAAATGGTCTGATGTTTCGACACAAATCTTGCAGTGATCGATCAAGAGCCTCGAGCGATTTTTTGTAGGCCATTGTGCATTTTTCCCAAACAATAAGTCTGCAATTCTGCAATACTTTTCCCATGCCAGATGTTTTGGAAATGTTGTAGGTGGGAGTTTATATGATTTCCTTGTTCAATGGCAATTTCAAAGTCGAATGAGCAGTTCTTTCACCTGGAAGCAATACCGCATCTATTCTTTACGACGCAAGAGCTAAGGAAATGCCATTTTATGCCATCTAATTAAGAAGGTTTTACTAGTTCCTCCTGGCACATCTAAGAAGAAGATTTTTCCAATCCCATTATTGACAGTTTGAATTATTTGATCGTAAATGCTTTTTTGCTCAAGCGTTAGCTTAGGATTATTTGATTGCACATTCGACAACAGATCACTTGTGTTGTAATTTGGTTCACGACGCAATTCTACAACGAACGAAGCAGCAGCAGATCGATTCGGTAATGTCATTCCTATCTGAATGAGAACTTTGATCGTAATTTCTATGCACAATTCTTCAATCATAATCAACGCTTCGTTGTAGATTTCTGCTGCGAAATACATGTTCATATTTGAAATTTCCTTGCATATTCGACGGACAATATTTGAAGCCGTGTGCAATTTATATTTCTCCCATAACTGTGTTGGAGATGGAGAGCAGCCGGTCAACATGATTGCAAACAATGCACGAATTGATTTGGTTGTGACGTGTTTGACTCGTCATTAATGCATACATCCCAGTGTCTGTCGTTAGACATTAAAATCATAACCTGATATGCACTACGGAAAGTGGCATGTGTGACGCCGTTTGACAAATCTCAATTGCTGGAAAGACGTTGAACCGGGCACATTTACCAACAGTACGCGAAGAAAAAAGCATTCATCTTGATTTGGATGCATGGTGTACAGTCTGCCTATCTTAGATTGTTTGAATATGCCAGGTTGTCCGTCGACTCGCTCTCCTCGATTGCGTCGTTCAAATGATTTTTTACTCGCATTCCATATGTAATACATAGGCATTTCCGCATACAGCAGTGTTTTCGCAAACTCATCATTTTGACATAACGGGAAGAAAGCAGATAACATTGTAGCCGGTGGATTCATGTCTATTTGTTGCACATATGCAGCTGTGAAATAAACGCGTTGTCCATTTTCTTGTTTTCAAAACAGAAACAAAAAATACTAACGAAATATTTCAATTCGAACACAAATCAATCGACACAGCTCAATTCTACCGCCAACTGCACTGAAAAATAAGAACAGTTAAAAAAACGAAATGAAAAAATGAAAACGCAAAAAAAAACTATACTCACGAAATTAACAGTATGGTAAACAATTTCCATTCTATATCATGCAGAATAATTAAACAAAAATGAAAATAAATCGAAATCCATGAAAATTAAATTTATATATGCAATTGGAAACATTCAAATGGAATTGTAACAAATATAGTATTGCGTGTGTAGCTCTTACATGCAACAGATGGCGCGGTTTTTTACAAAAAAAGCAGATGTCACAGGCATTGCATCTATATAATAGGTATTTAAAAACACGCGCGTATTCGAATGGAACGTTGTGTCAAAATTTTAAAGCAATAGGTGAAAAACTTTCGAAGATTACAGCTTGTGTTGCTTTTACGTCCAACAGGTGGCGCTGTTTTTCAAAAGAAGCATGTTTTTCCTGTCACAGGTAAAACTTATATATAGTAGGTATATAAAAAGATGCGCCTATTCAAATGCAACGTTATGTCAAAATTTCAAAGCAATCGGTAAAGAGGTTTCAAAGATTTCCTTTACATGAAAACCACTTGAAAAACACAGTTTTTCAAAAAAGCATGTTTTTTCCTTCACAGACATGACACATATTTAGTATGTATATAAAAACCCGCTCGGATGTGAAGGGAACGTTGTGTGAACATTTCAAAGCAATCAGTGAAGAACTTTCGGTGATTAACGATTTTGAACAAACGAACATTTTAATTTTTATTTATATAGATTTTTAGGACACGCAGAAATGACAATAGCGATTGTGATTTCTGTGTGTAATGAAGTATGGGCGACGAGGGAAAACAGCTTATTGACAGAGCTCGGGCGCATGGAGGAATTGTGTAAAAACCAGGTTTTTGGAGACTGCAAGATCCGTGGTAGGTCAAGTTGATTTCCCGGTTGCAATTCTTATCCATGTCGTAGCTCAGTCGATTAAGGCGTGTCTGGGATCCTCTCGCACGTAGGTTCGAACCCTCCTCACGACCCATGTGGATTTGTTCATAGACTTTTAGGCTTTCCTCCTGAGCAACAAAACATAAAATATCAAACTCACGTAAAATTTGATCCTTCAGCAAGGTACTGGAGCATGGTTGCAATGGGACTGGAATAAGTGAGTCTCTTCCCTCCTGGTGCCTTGGGATCGTCGACCATCACAGCTTGGTGAGCTGGATATGGTTCTGATGCAACAACTAGATTTAACCCATAGGAGAACCTGGGATGGAAAGGGTATTTATTTATTATAATTGAGAAAACCAACTGTTCTCGGTTGTGCCATAAACAAAATAATAATTGTAATTGCAAATATACAAACAAAACATGTTAGTTTTTGAGTCGAATAAAGAGGGATGGTAGAAGCAAATATTCTTATGTCCCCACTATACACTATATATATATATATATATATATATATATATATATATATATATATATATATATATATATATATATATATATATATATATATATATATATATATATATATATATATATATATATATATATATATATATATATATATATATATATATATATATATATATATATATATATATATATATGTTTCATTGAATATGACCGCATATTCTGTATTTATTATTTTCTGGTTTAGGGCTTCTATCCCTCTAACTATTTTCTTAGCATCAGGGCTTAATTGAAATAGGAGTTCTCCAAAACTCATTTTCGTACTTTTAAGGTGAAGAAAAGAAGTGATTTACTATAGAGTGTATTACACTTATTTGTATAATTTGCACGACGTTTCGAACCTCCATGGTTCATTCTCAAGTGAACAGATCTTACAATACTAGTTGATTTTATACCCGCATTAGGTCAGGTGATAATACAATGAAGGTGAAAACATGGGGGGATACATAAGGGATAAACATAGGGGCTGCAGAAGGCTTATTGGCCCATACGAGGCATCTCCTATCTAAACACAAAGATTAATCCAGTGTAATTGGCCTGTTATGTTTGGACATTGTCTTCTGTGTTGGCATCGATATGTTCAGAAAATAATAAATACAGAATATGCGGTCATATTCAATGAAACATGTTTGAAAGAAAACCTGCTGCCAGTATACACCAATATATATATATATATATATATATATATATATATATATATATATATATATATATATATATATATATATATATATATATGTGTGTGTGTGTGTGTGTGTGTGTGTGTGTGTGTGTGTGTGTGTGTGTGTAAATCACGAAAATTAACACGTGATGAAAAATGTGAAAAAAATATTCCTCCGTGTCAGACCACGGAGGAATAATTGAAACGGGAATTTCCTTAAGTACTTTCGTATATTAATACATTTTCAGAAGGAATGATTTACAGGTCAAGTATTGGACATATATATAGGCAGGAGAGAGAGGTGAGGTGAGGTACAATGAAAAATGAATGAGAATTAGGTGGACACAAATATGAGCCACATACGAACTGCAGAAGGCCTATTGGCCCATGCGATACAGCTCCTATTCTACCCACCAATAGGCCCACGCATGGATAATAATAGCATAAGATAGTAAATATTTACAATGAATTTGTAAGACAAATGTGTATCAATGATCCTACTCAAATCGCCCTTTAATTGATCTATCAAAAATGGATCTAAGTTATATAAACCACTGCTAATGTTCAAATTACATTCTTTTGTAATCTTTATTAAAGCAGATTCAATTATGTTCCTGTTATAAGTTCTTTAACAATTCGACATTGAAGAAGCCATCTCCCAATCAATTTGGTGAGCATTTTCTGATAGATGAGCAAGCAAAGCATTAGAGAATTGTCTATGTCTTACAAAGTATTTATGTTGCGAAATTCTACATTTCAAATCTTTTTAGATGTTTGCCCAACATAGAACTTATTACAGTCTTTACCAAGTATTTTATAAATGACAAAATTATCACTACGAGGGCTGTTTCTAACTAATAGCTTACCAACAGTATTTTCGTAGCTAAACATACGTAGCATGTAACTGAAAAAGTTTCAAGGCCTTGACCATAATCTTAAACCCAGAGAAATATGGTAAACATAACATATTCTTTGGGCGAATTTTTTCACTGCATAAATTATTATAATATGTATGACGTGATTTGCTGCGGCAAACTTCCAAAAAAATCAGTGGATGACAAAGTTTGAGACCAATAGAATCAATATTCTTAAACTCTTCATCTAAGAGTTCTGGACTAACAACCCGAAGAGCTCTTAGATACATAGACGAAAAATATATTGTTTCACATTGTATCTATGCCCTGAAAAACAATGCACATAAGAGAAATTATTTGTAGGCTTTCTGTAAACATTAAACTTTAGTGAACACTCTTCCCTATGAATAAGTATATCTAAGAATAGCAAACATTTATCAATTTCAGTCTCCATAGTAGATTTTATAGAGGTGACTTGATCATTAAGTTTAGTTACAAATTCGTAATTTACATCTGAAGGCCATATACACAAAATATCATTAACATATCTAAACCATGGAATGATTCCAGGGGTAATTTTTTAAATAAATTTCCTTTCGAAGAATTCCATGTACAAGTTTGAAAGCAATGACGATAAAGGATTCCCCATTGCCATTCCGAAAGTCTGTAAATAATACTCATTATTAAAGGTAAATTTACATTTTTTATGCACAGCTTAACGAGATTGACAACAATATCTACAGAAAGAGGTAAAACATGATTCATTAATTCATGAGCAATGTAATCAAGAATATCATCAATGGGTACCTTTGTGAACAAAGAACCAAAGTCAAAACTGATGTCAAGTAAATTAGTTTTGACGTTTCTTATTTTATAACCCTTCTTTCGTTTGTTTTTATATAAACCTTCCTGGACTGATGTAATAGAACCCCTAATCACCACACCAGAAATAAATATCCCTTTGATATCCCCCATAGTCAAACTTAATCTGTGTAAACACTCTATGTAAATAAAGGGACCTAGTCTATGGAACTCACTCCCTAACGAATTGAAAAGCTGTCCAACTTTTGCCTTATTCAAAAATATAACCAAGAACTACCTAATTTCATGTTCATAGTTTCCTACCTAGTGCTTTACACTCGCACTATATCTAGTGCTACCCAATCCCCCAATATATGTACCAAAGCCATTCAACTTTACCATTGTGATCATTGCTATCATCTTATATCATGGTTGTTATATAGAACGTATTTTTTTACAGCATTAATCCTTGAAATAATCCTCAAATTATGCTACAATTATACCCAAAACAGCGAGGTTTGGGTCCTCTGGTAGGTTAGGAGGGCAGCAAGTTTTCTTAAGATTTCAAAACGTCATGAAAAGTGTTAATTTAAAGTGTCCTCTACTAACCTAACAGACTAAGCCAGAGGACCCAACACAGAAAAAGGGGTATAACAACACTTGTTATGCCTTGACTGGCATTCCATAACATATAAATATTAGGGCCTATCCGGGATCCAAACATAAATATATGTTATGATGAGATCCCGGTCAGTCTCCCACATTTATATGTTATGAGAGGGAGTAACCTTCAGCATCACTGGAACACATAGCCTGGCCATATATCAATCAATGTTCTAGGGGAGTGAAAGGCTAGCAAAAATATTCCAATTTACTGGCATTAATATAAATCCATATAACATTAAAATAATAACCATCAACTAACTCACACACAATTACTTCTTACAGCTTCTCAACAACTGGGCATGATCATCCACAGCAGGTCTGGAAACTGCATCAATCAGCACTAGCTGACACCAGGCTATATCCTGGCACAGTGGAACACTAGCGCCTATATGCTGCTAATACCAATACAGGGTGATGGTGTCTCAACCAGTAGCACATGAGGTATGAGGAAACAGTATCACATACAGCACACTGGCATTACTTAAGCTCCTCAGAATATCACCTCACTAAGACATAAAATCACTTACCACCTGGTATACATGATGCACAACAGTAGAAATGATCCATGGTATAAATACTGTTACAAGTCAATTACTCTAGCAGTCACAAATCCCGGACCGAGACTCTACAAATGCGCTTGCCTGCGAGGTCAGAGACTAGTGAGTGTCCTGAGACTAGTGAGTGTCCTGAGACTAGTGAGTGCCCTGAGCCAAGCTGGCTGTTGCGTGACACTATACACCTCCATGAGTCATCTGACTCCACTCTTTCAAATCTCTCTAGAGCATTTACGGACATAACTCAATCATGAACTTTAAATTTACTATAAAACAAAGTAAAGATTATAAGACACAACCTTACACAATAATACAGAATAAGAATTCAGTACATTAAATAATTTATCAGGATATAAAAATATGCACACAGAGAATTCATATCGGTAAGTCAGGGTAACGCTGGCCCGAGTCGGTACATCAAAAGGGTGGGGAGGGGAAGGGGGGTTAGGGAGCATTCATGACGTCGGCCAACCGTCAATACATATGTATACAAGAATACAATATAAAGTAGATATATACAACATGTGTATCAAAAGCTTGTCTAGGTGGAATAAATTTCACAGTGCCATAATTTCAGTAAACGTCGTGACAAGAAGACAATGCAAGGAACAACAATGAAATAGAAATTACACAGTATACATGTGGTTAATACATCTAAAAACTGAATGTATACATTCTCCATCATGGTTCACATAATATTACCTATACAGCATTTGTGTAGCATTGCATACATTAAGCATACTAGGATGTTTTTCAAGCTAACATGACATTAGGCTACTGCTATACACTAGACTTCTAATATATGTCCACAATTACATGGCATACAACTTTGCCACAGAAATAATTTCTACTTGGTTAAGTATGATATACACCGTCAATACAAATTAATAACAAAATACTGTCAAAAAAGATTCACTAATAATTACAATTTTCGCGATACTAGGCTATCAGCCAAGATATCCCTGTATAGTTTGAGCACATCATACACCAGCCTAAGTATGATCATACTGATGTATGCGTGGTCATAGCATCCCTTTATCACAAGAAATGAGTACAATGTGAGACACAGTGTACTCATCCCTGCAGACATGGGCCGCAAAAGCACATCATAAATTATACACACACACACACATATATATATATATATATATATATATATATATATATATATATATATATATATATATATATATATATATATATATATATATATATATATATATATATATATATATATATATATATATTCACAATA